ATTTCATAGCCTCTGCATTTTTTATTGCACAGGACTATTATGTATTTTAAAATTACATTGTGTTACCTTTAACCGAATTAATCTGTTAGATTAAGGCTGCAGATTATCTGCTAAATCCTATTCTATGCAGCAGGAATGGTTTTTCAGTTGATATACATTAGATTATAATAAAGTAACAAACCACAGCTTCAATACAGAGGGGGAAAATTCTTGTTTAATTTGAAGGGCTGAGAATGAAAGATTATCACTGGTTAGAGGTACCATTTTCCTCTAAAACTGAAATATTTCCTCTCTATTTTAATTTGTGTTGTAAAGATGAAGAATATTTTAAATCATCCTCTCTAATTAACCCCATTATAATTTCCCTGTGCTTCAATTTTGGCTATTAAAGAAAATAAATAAATGAAAAAGCAGCATGCTAACCAGTTTCCATTTCTGTTTTTCAAAACTTTCTATTGAGTAGACTAGCAACAAAGGGACAAAATTATATCTCTTTCTTCCACCAGTCCGTCTCCTTTCTGTGCTGATTACAAAATATGCCTCCTTAATTTCCTTCCTAGGCAGCTAGGAAGGAAACCAAGTAAATCCAATCCATCCTCTGCTACTACTGCACTCACTGGTTGCCTCAGAGAAACAGGTGAGTTGTTAACAAGGTGGAATATAGTATTTGTTTTTCCAAAATGGTTGAAAAAAATTTACTACTAACTAGGGAAAGGGACAAAGTGGGACCCTTTGGATTTCCCTGGATTGCAACGTCCACCAGTCCAGCCAATATAGCTAATAATGAGCACTGCAGAGGGGCACCCCAAAAGCATCTGGAGTTTGCCATAATTTGCTCACTTCATTACGTACTGGTCCTTTCTCAGAATGCATGGTAGTATTCGTTAATTACAGTTTCTCTTACACCTCTGGGACATTTCTTTGCATACTTACAGAAATTAGGAATATATCAGAATTCTGTCAGTATGACAAAAGGTAGGCTTCGCTTGAATAAAAGGGGTTGATAATCATGGTTGTTGCTACCTTTTGGTATCACTTATCAACCAGACATCTATGATGAATGAGATGTTTCGATTTAATAGTATGAAGTAGCAATCAATCCCCTGAAGAGCATACAATGAAGTAACAATCAAGTCAAAAAATGTAGTCTTCAGTAAAGCACAATGGATTTATTAATATTGGTACTTTTCCAGCATGGAGAATCTTCTGAAAATAATGCTGAGAGTAGTAAGAAGATACTGTTTGTAAAGATAGTGGTCTGTGGTATCAAATGATATTGTACTGTGTACAAATTGTGTTCAATGCAAAAACCAGCTGACCCAAAAACTGCTCCTCAGAGCTGGAAAACCTTTAAGAGAATGTTTCTGGTAGATGGAGAGAGCTGCAAGGTGGAAGAACTAAAATCTTGATAGTTCTGCCAATGTCAGTTTGGATCTGGACCTCTTACACTCCATATTATGAGGGGGGGGAATAGCTAATATTTTCATAGAGATCACAGCATCCCTAAGATAATTTATTGAATTCCTTGTTGAAACAAGATTTGACTTATGAATGCCCTAGTTCATAAAACTGTATGTTTCCAGCTTTAAAAGGATATTCAAAGACAATATTAAAGCTAACAACAGCAAATATACAAATACCAAAATGATCAAACAAATATCATACTAAAAAGTATAAGAAACACCAAAACATATTCAAAGCAGTAAGATACAACAATCCATTAAAAAACCCAACTTAGTCAGTCAGTCACTCAGGGAAAGCTTTTCTGAAGAGAAAGGTCCTCATCTGCTTACGGAAAGACAGTAAAAATGGGGCTAGCCTAGCTTCCTGTGGGAGGGAGTTCCAAAGTCTGGCAGCAACAACAGAGAAGGCCCCCTTCAGTATACCCACCAAACAGCTTCTAATAGGCGATATTCACTCAGCTTCCTATAAAGGATATAGGGATACAGGAGAGAAAGTATGACAAAAAAGATTTCTAGAGAAAACCTGCATATTAAATTTTTTTCTGGACTGTACATGTAAGAACTGTAGAGAAACATAAGCCTTCGCAACTGTGGGATGAATGAAGCCTGCCAATTATGTATCAGACAGGAGATGCAAGGAACCAGAACTTCTATATTATGCTGTTATATAACAATGAATCAAACAACAGTTCAATATCTTATCCTTTCTGTGCTTTCCCTACATTTCTATGAATGGATACATGTATAGGGTCAAATTAGCCAAACAAATGCTGATATGATTAGAGACAATTAGACTCATTATGTGATGGTTTACATACCACAGTATGTTGCTACTTGATAAAGGGTTTGGACATATGTAGACATTGTAGATATTGTAGCAAAGAGGAAGTAGCATACTTTCACAAGTGAAATTTAGTGTGAGAATAAGCTGCTCTGGAAGTAGTATATACTTTCATAGGTGAAATTTAGTGTGAGAATAAGCTGCTCTTCTCTCTGGAAAGTCAGGTGTCTAATCCACATAGTAGCTGAAAAGGTAAGAGTATAAAACATCAGAAATCTGATCCTTAACCTGGGAAACAGCCCTTACCTTGCATGTTAAGGGCATCAGAAATGTGTGTGCAGTACTACCCATGTGTGCACATGGGTTCTGTCTGTGCAGCCAAAGATACGATTATTTCCAGCATAAAATTGGATAAAGCCAAAACATTATACAATGGCCAGAATCCTACTGGGTATTTACACCAGCCTGAATGCACTGACATAAACCACAAGGGCAAATGCCTGCTAGTTAAGGAGCGGCTTGTAAACAACAACATATCTTTGTGTGTGCCAACCGCATGATCATATGTGTAATGAGGACTATGGATGGCAAAAATTAGAGGCAATTCACTGTGGCAGAGATTTACAGTTTTGCACGTCCACCAATGTAGATAACCAACAGAATTCTGGCCTATATTTCTAAATGCTGGAATGACTAAGAGCAGCAGTCCTGAACCTTCCAAACATACAACCTTAGGGAGTAGTGGGAATTTATTAAGATTCTATCAGACATGATTATGAGATTTTTACTCAACACTATAAAACTGAAACACTGGGAAATAAAGAATGGCTTCTCACACTGGTGATCTGTATCCTGTAACTACACGGAAAAGCAGCCTGTGTAGTTTAAGGCTGCAAAATGCATCAAGTGATGACAGTGTGTTAGGAGTAACACTGCCTTCCATTGGCAGCAACACAACTATTGCAAAATGACGATGTCACATGGTAGTATTTTTCCTCTCCTGGTATTCTCCTTTGAGCAGATTTATCTTGTTTCAACTTTGGTGTTTAACTTCACACACTTTCTGTATAAAATGATGCAAGAACAGTACTATGTATTTACTATACTGGCATAGCTCTGAAGGAGCAGTGAGAAAATGTTTGGCCTGTCCACTGTTGATGATGTATCTCTTTGATACCCACATTCCCCCATCCTCCTCCCATAACCCCTAGACAGATTTGCCAGGATTGATGGGACCATTTCCACCCGTACTTCGAAGAATTGTAGAAGTGTAGCTCTATGTTGCAGAACTGAGAAAAGTCTGAAAAGCAGAATAACTTGTTTCTGTCCGTCTATGTTGCCTTCTGGATCTTGTTGACCAGTTTCATATGCCATTTTAAAAACATTCCTCAAAATGGTTATATTGAAAATCGCTGTTTGCCCCAAAGTTTGAATAAATTTTTGAAAAATAACAAATTCTAACCGTCAACCTTGTATGTTCAGCCCTAGAATCTAGAAAAAAATGCATTGGAGACAAAAAGCTCTTTCATACATCAGGATTTAAAACATATAGATTTTTTTTTAAAAAAAGTCACTGGATATTGCTTTCCAGTGTAAATGTTCTACATAAACTCTTTACGAGAAGGGATTTTGTTTTTGAGGCTCTGCTTCCATTTTACTTTTAGGGAAAGTAGGTTTCCCTATGTATATTTAGCATTCATATGAATGTCTGGATTTGTGCAAAGAGGCTAACGCACAGCCAATATTGAAGAAATTAAAAAATAACGCACATTCCTTCTTTGTATTCTTGAAGGTACACTCCTTGTTACTACTGATGAAAGCATTCAAATTAAAGTATTATATACCACATTTATTTTCATGTATTTTCATAGGTCAGCATAAACTATATAAATTACAGTTTTTCCTGCATAGACGTTGTCTGCATGGATTTGTTAACTAAATATAATTGATGTACTTTTAATATAAAGTGAGTGATACATGGTAGGTTAGCTATCAATTATCTTTGCTTTTAACTACATGGAGATAAAATACTTTGTGATACAAATTATTTGTCATTACAAAAAATGGCAACAGTATTAGCTAGTTAAGTACAAAACCTGTTAACTTCCATAAATAAGGAAATAAAAGAAGCTCAAAAATACAAGACCTTTTTCTGTTTACAGTGTTTGAATAGGTGAGCTGAGATATGTAGTGTGTAACACCTATGGGTGGGGGAAAAAGAATACCGAAAACACTAAAGCTGTTGGAAAATGCTAGTGCTTCCAAAGGTATTAGCACAGAACATTCACATTGAGGCAACACAATTCGTATCTTAGAACTGGTAGACAAAAGGAGCCACTGACAGTTGTAAAGCATTAGTTGTCTGACAGAAGCCTGTCAAAACAGCTGTTGTTCGGTATTGATTGATAATGTTTTTATTCTTGCTACCAAAGTACTGCAGACAGTTACAGGTCTGAGAAAAACCCCAACATGGGCACACCCACCCACACAAACACACTCAGCAAATAATTTAACAGATGTCTGTTAGAATTTTATGCTACAACAGGTTTCTTAATATTTCTTTGAAAGGTCAAAATTAACTTTCTATGCGCAATAATCACTTGGGATGGAATCTATTGCATCTATATGAAGAAAACAAAAAGAAAACCCCCAAAAAACAACTGATTGAAATAGGAATTGCATTGTTGCTCACTAACTACTTACATTCAAGAACCCTTCAGACTGAAGACGCAATATTAACTTTTTCAAAATTAGTGTTCAAAGATTTAAAAACTTTATTAACATGTTGAAATCCAGTTACATCGCGGACCCATCAATATATAAGAAAAAAGGATGTCCTCTAGCAGATCTGTGATATGGTTTCACCCTCTGAAACAAGGAACTTTTTCTGGTGAAAATAGTTTCAAAAATGCTATTTTCCGGTAAGTTAGATATTTCCCAAAGAATTTTGAAACCAACCCCATATGTATTTTATCACAAGGTCTGAACAAGCTCAATGAGGCTTACTCCCAAGTAAGTCTACACAGGATCACAACACCATCTATAATTCACATTGCATTATGTAGCTGAAGTTTTGTTTTCAATTTCAACAGTTGTGCTCATCTTCTGTCACAGTTTCACAACGCATAACAGCAGTGGATAGTGACGGCCTCATTATAACAAGTAGAAAGAAAGCCCTCTTTAACAATATCAGCCATGTTTTTTGGTTAAGACATTTCCTTATGAAGTGATGACAATGGGTCCATCTTTCCTCCTATAAATTTGGTCCACAAGAGACATGAAATCAGTTGCATTTTATCTTCTTATTTTTAACCACACCTAGGATTTTTTGTGGCTTACTCTTTCTGTGCCAAAAATAAATCAGGAATCAATTGTGTCGGCAAAAAATAACAACAGCCTATAACCTTTGTTTCTTTCTACGGAACTAAGAGGACTCATGAGTGTAACTGTTTTTGAAATTCAAAACTCCAGTAAGCAGTGATGATAAAAATCATGACAATAGCTTTAGTTGCAAGAGTTTCTGGTCCTCTAGTCACTTCAAATTCTCGCTCTACAACCACACTCAAATGCCCTCTTTATAGAAGCTTCACCACTGCTAAAGAATACAACATCCTTCATAAGAAATGATCAGAGATATAGATGGGATGCCTGTTTTCCAGAATCTAAGAAAAAAGACTCCTTTAGTCTCTATAAAAAAGGAGTGTCCCAGATTAAAGAACATTTTATGTTAAGGAACGATGTGATAACTTCATCTCAATAGTATTCTAGAGTAAATTATACAAATATAAAGCAACTCTTTACAAGATATTCAACATTTACCTTTGAAACAAAACAAAACAAAAATGAAACCAAGCAAAAATTTCAGAAATGAAATTTATGTCTTAAATAACAGCTATTCTATCAAGGACTATTTTTGGTAGACATATAAGGTACACATTAAATGGATAAAGAGCTATCTGTTACTATATTATGGCCAGTATTTCCAAAACCAAGGCAGTTTTAAGTTTTGAAGTACTCCGCAGGCCTCAGCACAGAATAAATCTGGAAAGGAGTACATTCTTGAAACTAAATGGAGTGCTGTCACACATATAAAAACAATAACAGAGAAAACACAATAAAACATCCTATGCTCTGGATAAAAAAAAATTTTCTACTAATATTGTGTCTAGGACAATGTTTGAAACAAATCTAAACCCCTGAAAATAGGGGCAGTTAAGAAACGCAGACAAGCTTTTGAGTGTGATTCAAAGACGCTGACTTTAAAAAAATGATCCCGCGGCTTAGTGGAATGGAGGTCTAGCATAATACTAGTTATGTGGAATGCATCCAGTGATTATTTAAACCTTGTTCTTGCTCCATATTTTTTACCCAAAGTTATCCTCCATTTTGTCACCATTTTATACAATCATCAGCTTAACTTACATTTACATTTTATTTTTTTTTACTCATAAGCGGCTTTCTAGTTCACAACAAAATACTGATATGTCCATTGTCTTTTCTCACCTCCTGCTAAATTAATGGTTAGCCTCTCTAAAAAATAAAAATAAAACTCAAAGTTCTAAAGGTTCTTGTATTCAGTAAGGCTTCTGATTAGTTTTTTTTGCATAAAATGCATTCATAGGCGTCAAGATTTAGTCTTGTTCTCGGTGACTATCATTTCCACGTAGTTTTGGCGTCCATTACTAGCTGGTTTTAAGTTTTGTACATGCAGCAAAATTCACATTAAGGTTCTTCTAATGACAATGCAAGAAAATGGCATACAATGAGCAGATTTGTTGGTGAACAAGAACTCCCCATTCAGTAGTACAGACAACTTTATGGCAAAGAATCATAGCTGATTCACAGAACTTGAAAACAGGCTTTCCAAAACCAAATGACAAAACACATTTTTTCTCTACACCAAACCATAATTTAGCCAAGAGCAAGACAACCAGGTACAACCATGACATCTGAGAACCATCCTAGTTTTCTTCACATTCTTGAAGGCTCAAGATCTCTGTCTTCTAGTAAATTTATCAGCAGGCCGAAGCTGTCTTTTACTGCTTCCATATCATCCAAGGAACAGGGTTTAAGTATCCAGCGCTTCCCTCGTGCAAGTGGTTCAAGCTCTAAATATTTTTTGATCTATTTTTTTCATAAAAAAAGAGAAACAAGAAGAAAAAGTTAGTTGTCTCACACACATTGTTGATTTCTTTTCATCTTTTAAAATAGACAATTACAGTAATATGGGATGCCTAGTTTTAGAACTATTTCACATCTATTTCTGGGTTCCATCTTGTGACTGTGGTTTTCTAAAGGCACGAACTATCTGCTTAGAAGCCTAGCTTCAACGCTCTATTTAAAAAGGCAACCAACTTACGGTGTCAGTTTCACTTATTTCACCAGTTTCACACATGCCCTGCTGAACATTTCAATATTGCACTGTATAATGCTAGACATATTATAATTTTGCATAACTAGAACTGAAAGTAATGACATGATTGTTGTTACATCAAATATGTTATTTTAAGTAATGCAAGGGACCACTCTGCAGCTTGTTGCAAAATGTACAATATGACAACTAAATTCAAAATGGAAATAAAGATGGTACAAAAACACAAAACGTGGTAACAGTGCAGCCACTTCATAACAAATTGGTGCAACACCAACAGAAATGGCCAAGAAATTTGAGATTTTCCGAAATCACTAAAATAATGAATGCCTAGCATACATATCATACTGCTAGACCAACCTTAATCCTACTACTAACAACACAGCCATCTATACTGGCAAAGACCATCAGACTACCATCTGGCAACAAGACATTTGGTCTACTGAAGTGTACCAATCATCATACATATAAAACATTATCATTAGCAGTAGCATATTTAAGGTCTCAGCAGTAGATGAGGTAGAAGCATTGTTACAAGAAAAAAGGAGGGCCTGCATAGAGCAAATGCCCTTAGAAATTCCTGATAACAATAATGTAGTCAAAGGCTGCCAATGTATGCACCCTCAAAATCCAAGTGGAGTTTCGTTAACTGCCAGTGAGAAACCGTTGTATGTTACTCCATTTACCTTCAGAAAGTGTAGCTATACAACAGGATTTTGGCCAATTAGACTTTCAGTTAAACAGCAGAGGGGATCAAACATTCTAACAAATTGCATGTGCTTGTACTAATGTGTTTTCCCATCTTGGACATTGATTACTTCTCTTTTTTTGTTTGGATATTGTCTGTTATAATTCTTGTTTTATATTGCTCGGACTGTAAGCCACCCAGAGTAGATTCGTTTGAATCTAGATGGGCGGGGTAAAAGCCGAATAAATAAATCCAAACAATACTGACAAAACCACTGAAGCATATTAAGATTATAATGTAATATATACTAAGTATACTTCAAAGTGATTAATAAACATCTTTTCTTAACATGATTTTACCAAGTAACAGTAAAATTATAATAAACAGCAAAAATAAGAAACAATAAACAAGCAATACCGTGAAATACATTTTCAGCAATGCAACAAATAATGAGTTGTTTTTTCAAAAAACTGTAAAGAATGCTAAAAATGAATTAATTATAAAAAGTACCTGTACAAGATATGAAACCAGCAGGTTGCTCATAACAGTAAATCAATATTCTCAACAATTCTGAGTTATTGTTATGTCCAAGTGATGCCAGTGTCTGCATTACAATATTAGACACATAACTGAATTAACTGAACATTTTGGTTAAGCAGATTATAATTAAATGTATTATAAAATATCACATGCCTAATAAAATCTGAAGGGCAATGCCATGTTGTTAATTTGAGTCTCAAAATTAAGACTTGTCTCTTATATCCTTTTGGTGATATATTTTTAAAAACTGGTGCTAAGAATTGCACCTGATACAGAACAAAGTTAGCTGAGAAATATTCTGCTCCGTGAAAAAAGTTAATGAGTCTAAGTCCAAACTCACATATCAGAGACAACCAATTACCCTGTCTGAAACACAGGCTTGTAAAACTATCAGGTACTTGTAAAATGGTCTGCTACACACAAGTAAGATGTTGTTTAAATGGCTTGTTTGACTAGATGCATTCACCATGAAATTGATTCTTTTAAAACACTGTTTTAAAACTGGATACACGTTAACTGCATAGGCTGAAAATGAGAAAAAAATCTGGCATTATAAAGGGTGGGCTTCAGCTACGAGTCCAATTTTATGAGGTCGAGGGTTACTTGAATGAGAAACTCATCAAGTATAGCTATGTCCTGTGCAGGAACTAAAGAAGCTGCATACAATTAGATTATGCTCCTACTTCCATGGCCAAAACCCCCCATAAGATTTAGTGAGTTTTTACCACACAGCTCCCTGGCAAATCTTCCCTAAAATTTTATATCTATAACATATTTGAACAGTGTGACAAAGATTGACAGAATTTCAGTTCTACAGCTTCACAATTCTTTATCCTTATCACACCCTATACCGAAACTCTTTGCATGTGCTGTTATAATTGAACATGAAATATAGGAACATACCTGAGTTTTGTGCACATATAGCAAACCTGCATTTTAAAGCCATAGCTTATTGCATCTTTAGCACTACATTTATGCTAGGAAAGACTAACACCAGCAGTGAGACATCCTGTGCCAACCTAATGGATAGGAATGGCATAACTGGGAGCAATTTCACAAAATGCATACAGGCAACCTGGCTTCGCTGCTAAATATTTATACTCAAGAGGGAGTTGCAACCGATCTTATCTCTCTTTAGTGCATTTGAAGTATACGCTTATTCCAACTCAGATACATGCTTAAAATGAGAATGGGGAACATGTGGCCTGTCAGATGTTGTTAACGGAAATCCCTGCCACCCATAATCACTGGCAAAATTGGCTGGGACAGATGGAAGTCACAGTCCGACAACAATTGGAGGGCTACATGATGCCCTTGGCTGGCTTAAAGTATTTCTAGTGTACATCTGAAAACATAATGCATATTTAGGCATGCTCCAACACTGGAAAAGGGCATATGCTCTCCAAAGAACTGAAAAGGGTGGGTGTAAGATTGGTCAGAAACAGTAAACTTGTTGACCACTAGTTATGTTACATTACCACTGAAAAGGCACCTACAACACACAACAAACCTTGAAAGACTGCTAAAATGCAAATGAAGACCTAGATCAACTGTGGAAAGAATAAGATTTTTCCAATAAGATACTCAATCTGATGGCTGAGGTAAAATGGTTGTTCCTTAATCTTAAATAGAAATGATCCCTCCTTCCTTGAAGGCAGATCTCTACGATTTCTCACAGCAAATGAGAAACAGAAGATGCTTATCATCACACTGACAAAGAGAATTGCCCGAAACTGCCTGCACTCCAGGCTTGCATTTGAAGCTTGCATTTATGAACTGAAATTTGTTGAAAAAAAAAATAACATACGGCTCTTGAGAAGTGGGACCATGTATCTGCCGGCATGCCAGGACTTTCTTACTCTCCTCCTTTCTTACTCTCCTCTTCTTCCTTCCAGAATATTTTCAAGGGCCCACCTCCTTCCAGGTCCAGACCCAGGAAATTCACGAGGCCACCCAGCAAGCGACTCCAACGGGGATGACAGAGATGGGGCAAGGAGAGGTAGGCACACAATGTTCACTTCCAGTTCCTGTTTGACACAGAGCTAAGACCAGCTCCTCTACATAGAGCTTTGACTAGCTCCTCTACAGCCTTCATAGTTCTATGTTCCGCTACATAGAGCTTTGACTAGCTCCTCTACACCCTTCATAGTTCTATGTTCCATCCCTTTTCCCATGGCACCCCAGACTTGGATCTCAGGCCAAATGAAATCAATGGGACTTCAGTTATGAATAAAGTATCCATCAATTTTAATAGGTCTAATCTAAGCACAGGATACCCAGTGTCATGTAGTGTATAGAACGACAAACTAGAACTCAGGAGGCCTGGGTTTGGATCCCCACTCAGCTATGAAAACCCAGTGGGGTGTGGGGAACTGGAAAAGCTACTCCTTAAACATCTTATTACCCTGAAACACTGTTAGGGTCACTATAGGTCTGTTCCAACTTGATGGCACAACTAGGTCTAGATCTAGTTTCATAGATTCATTTTTCTACTCATACTCCAGAACAAGATTCACCCCCACTCTGGAAATACAAGCTACCAAGTTCAGAGTGAATAAACATATGAAACAAAAACATTTATGTGCTGGCTTGGGATATAACTGCAACAGCATCCAAAAGAGGGACCAGATATAGTGTTCGGAGAACAACAAGAAATGCAGCTTCAGAACAGAGAGATAATTTTTCAAAAGCCTCATTCAGAATCTACATAATCCACCACAGTGAAGACTGCCTTCTTTTAAAAAAAATCAAATCAATTTTGTTTAGGAGAGCGATACTTAGAATTTGATGAGCACAGTAGAGTAAGTTAAGTGAAGCGGCAACTGCTGGTAGGTCATGTTGTATAGTAACTTCCATAGCCAGGACATGGATAGCTGCTTTAGCTACATCTTCAGGCACATGTGCACCCTGAAGGATTCAGTTCCAGATGCAACTTTGCAAACCTAAGCCATGCTGCCATGCTATTTTTAGAGAGAAGAGACTGTCTCCCGATAACCCTTCCAAACAAGTCAGTCTTTTACTAATTGTACTGTCATGAACTTTAACATTCAACATGCTAACTGAGGCCTGTACAGTATATTTAAATCTTTGAGTTTTTTGCAATTTCTCCGGGTATTGCATGGTCTGACCTTGGGGTGAATTTGCTTGGACGTCCACTCCTGGGAAGACTGATAACTATCTTGAATGGTTTCCACTTGTGAATAACCTTCCTCACTGTAGAATGATGGACTTTAAATTATTTGGAAATGGCCTTATAACCCTTCCCAGATAGATGGGCAGCAACAATGATTTCTCTATGATCATTGCTGCTGTGTTTCCTCCTTGCCATTATGTTAACACACATCTGAATGCTCCAGACCAGCAGACTGCTAAAACTTTAGCTTTTATAGAGGTGTTCATACTTGCTGATGATCAATCACTCAAGAGTATTTGATTAGCAGCACCTGAATGCTACTTAACCTCTTAATTCCTATGGAAGCAGTAAGGGTGTAGTTAAGAGTGTCACACATAGCTTCTCAATTTTGG